GGAGACACCCCTTGACCGAGTACGGAGGGCAGTATGGGGGATGCTGTATGCCGATGATGCCGGCGTCGTATCGAGGTCTACAGAAGGACGGGCGAGAATGATGACCATCATCGTTGAGGTGTTCGGAGAGTTCGGGCTAACGGTGTCGGAGAAGAAAGACGGACCGAGTGGCGCGATACGTGCCGGATTGAATTTCTTTTAGCCAATTCCCTCCCCCCCCAACGCTGCACCATTGCCTCAACCCCCCACTAGTGATGACGTACCATTACATTGTATCGCTGGTTGGTGGCCATGTTTGCGTGTTTGCTTGTCGTTAGTGGTCTCTCCACCGTGTGCCTTTTTCTGTCTCTTATTTCTTGGTACTTTCGGCCTGGTCCCTTTTTGTCCTCGCTCGTTTTATTTCGTTTCTTTCCTTACTGTTTCCTCTTATTTTCTTCGGTTCTCTTTTTCTCTCTTTTGCTCTCTTTTGCTCTCTTTTGCTATGCCAGATGGCCTCGTCTCTGCTTGCATTGTGAAGTATCAAGATTGAACCAAGGGGGTGCACCTCATTCTCTCCGGCCCGCGATGGTGACTCCTAGTCTCAGTTGTTACCTCGCATAGCGCGCAGAGGGAGTGGAGGACTCCAGAATATGTGTCGTTGATTTATATTGACTTGCGGACCCCTCGGGGCCATTATATTTGAGCATACCTTTTTAGGGTTAGCCTGCGACCACGGGAATCGACCGCGTCGAGTGTTGGATCAGTACGGACATACGAAGGTACTGGGTGGCGAGAGATCGGAACGGTTTTTGATGTGAAGACAGCAACAACAACAACAACAACAACAACAACAACAACAACAACACCAACAACGCCGGATGCTGNCAAAAAGGTACACTCAAATTTGTGGCCCCGAGGGGTCCGCACGTCAATAGTCTAGAAATCAACGACAGATATTCAAGTGTACCGTCCCATGAAATTTCGGGAGATGATAATGGCATGAACGTCCATGCCAAACTTTTGACATGGAGGGGACAAAACTACCCCATCCCCAGTACCAAAACACCATGTTTTGTGCCACAAAACCACCAAACAATTGGCCAGTTTTGGTGGCCCCACAGCAACAGCCACAAGCACGTACTGAGGCCGACAGACGCGGAAAGGGAGGGCCAGCTCTATAGGGAAGACTGTCTCTACTACCAAAGCTGAAGAGGGAGCGCCAATCGGCCGTCTGAGAACAAGAAAATCATGCNCGAGAGATCGGAACGGTTTTTGATGTGAAGACAGCAACAACAACAACAACAACAACAACAACAACAACAACAACACCAACAACGCCGGATGCTGTCGGAGATTGGTGTCGTGTTGATTTCCAAGTGTTTGTTGTTGTTGTTGTTGTCTTCACATTAAAAACCGTTCCGATCTCTCTCTACCCAGTACCTTCGTATGTCCGTACTGATCCAACACTCGACGCGGTCGATTCCCGTGGTTGCAGGCTAACTTACCCCAAAAAGGTACACTCAAATTTGTGGCCCCGAGGGGTCCGCACGTCAATAGTCTAGAAATCAACGACAGATATTCAAGTGTACCGTCCCATGAAATTTCGGGAGATGATAATGGCATGAACGTCCATGCCAAACTTTTGACATGGAGGGGACAAAACTACCCCATCCCCAGTACCAAAACACCATGTTTTGTGCCACAAAACCACCAAACAATTGGCCAGTTTTGGTGGCCCCACAGCAACAGCCACAAGCACGTACTGAGGCCGACAGACGCGGAAAGGGAGGGCCAGCTCTATAGGGAAGACTGTCTCTACTACCAAAGCTGAAGAGGGAGCGCCAATCGGCCGTCTGAGAACAAGAAAATCATGCTGTATCTCCTGCATCTTTGGTCTCTTCTTGGTCTCCACCCGCACATGTCCTGCCTTACAGCACAGCACAGCACAGCTTTGCCTTCCTCTCCGAAGACTAGCAGGTGTGTTGTGGTGGTGGTGGAGTATGGTAGCCAAGGGCATGATGACGTGGAACTGCTGGGAGTAAAGCCGGAGAGGGAGCGCCATAACAGATGTCAAAACAATGGAAAAATGCTGTATCTTTCCACGCGGTTTCAACTACACACTGCTGTACACTCGGCATACACTCGGCATGAATGCAGTCTATCCTACCACCTTGTAGCTATCTGCTGTTCGATATCTAGATCTTTCCACGCATTTTCCTGTACGTAGTCTGATCGTGGCATTTCCCGTCTTCTTAGTCTCCACTCAGACAGAGTGCGAAGGAGGAATCCTTGAACCAAGAACACTCGAAGCAACAAGAAGATTATTCGAAACAAGTAAGAAGCGAAGCGCTGCGTGAAGTATCCTTACATCGCTGATGTACATCAACGAAACAAAATCAGGAACCCTGCTGCCCCGCCCCCCTCGTGCATCGTTACAAGAAACCTCACGAGTAGCTGTGTGTGTCATCGCAATGGGACGCACTGTCATGTATCCGAATTTAGATTGTACCTTGCCGGTGCCTGACTTCTGTCCTGCCAATTATTGTGCCCTACCTACGCTGGAGCACACAGGAAACAACGACCAAGAAAAGTTACACGGAGAAAACAAAACCAGCAACTGGAAACCAGTTGTATGGTGTAGCTCCCCAAGCCAAATACACCAAATATTTGCCATCACAAGAAAGCTACAAGCTTTCATCATAAAAAAACAAAAGGGGTCTGTTGCACGACAATAATCTACGCGATACAACCGACAACATGATACTTGCAACACTACAGTACGACCAAGCTGTAAACACGCGCCGCCATGCCCTCGGCACTCCTGATTCCAAAAACAAACGTGCTGCCTGCAACTACAGCCATCTAGATCATATAGACACATGACCAATTTTGATTTGCCGAGGACTTTCTGTCTTCACCCTCTGCCCCCCCCTTCCCGGCTCAAATCCCTCACCGTATTCTGCTTTTTATTTTTTTAGGATGAAGTGGCGGGTCTTGAAGTCCCGCCCGAGGCTTAGCACCATCAACACTTCTGCGTCTGTCAGCAAATGCTTACTCTTCCATTTTCATTCAACAAAATATGTCCGCCTCATGTGGGCGAGAGTCCCTGGACGTGTTTTCGGTGTACATGCGCACACACCTCAAGCAGGCCTCCATCAGGTTGACATACATCCTCCCCGTTTGAACAGACAGTACAGGGTCAGGCTCAGATTAATTATCAACCGGGTCCCCGAAATCGTCTCATCCCTGACAGTCAGCGGCGAAGCCCCCCACTATACGACTCACTGTCGTCCCCATCGAACGAAGGATCTAGCTCTACTTCATCTAGTCCACGTTTCTGCACTATTTGGACGCCATCGTGAGTGGATGGTTGTTCCCTTGAATTCGGAAGCGCGACCCAACTTCGTGACAAGCGCTACGAGGATCTGCCTACACTGCGACACCCGCCGTATGACCTGCAAACACGGACACGGCTGAAATCCGCCCAGGCCTATGACTACGAGGTGGTCGACCTTGCGTCGTTTGTACACTGTACGTTAACCACTGCATCTCTTTCGACGTGGGCAGCCAGACAAAAACAATATTGCAAAACACGTGGTACCAACGAGGGATTTATCATGGTACTTTGTCCCCCCGTCGAAGACCGCAGCGGATACCTGACAGCATAGGTACGTCTCCGTTTCTATCATTGTTGGTTGGTCCTACAGCAAGGTCTTCGAGGAACCGAAATGACTCCCGTCCCTCAACCAGGACGGCGGTTGCTCCAATTTTGGCCACGATTTCCTGATCGGCAGCGGGAAACAGCACGACACAAATCGAACGAACGCGGTAATGGACTCTCCGTAACCAGTAACACTGGTCTGTGTTTCCGAAGCTATCGTCAGCTACTTGATATGAGAACACCACGGGCCGAGAGAGAGAGAGATGCCATTGCGGCACTTACACGTCGAGCGTAGGTGCTGGCTCCAGCCTTGTCGCCCTCGTTCATGACGGGTTCGCCGGCTTCTTTACGTTGCCGTCCATGTGGGCCAATCGGAGGGAGCTCGCGTTCGTACCTTGCCTGCACGGAGAGAAAAATAGGGCATTGACGTGATGCTCGTGATGCTGGCGAAACAATATGCTACAGAACCTACACCCCCCCCACCCCTGTCCATACGATGTATCAGTATGTAAAGAATGTGTAATGCAACAAGCACTGTTGCCCTCCGGGACACCCACATTCTCGACGCCAGCACGAGATCTCCTACTCCTGCTTAAGCGATGAACAAAGTTCAACACGAGACGCTCACACACGTGACCGCTGTTGTTTTGCTCTTGAAACCACGGCGATGAAGCTCGCTTTCGGTTTTGCTCAGAATCGAGTCCCACCCTGCATCTCCATCACCTTCCTCAAGGAAAGTGAAGCCATTCTCGAGATTGATCGGATTGTGGTTTGCCATTTCATCGCCTTTTTCTGCCGTGGAAAACGCGAACATGTCATGTTTGTGCGCGGCCCGCATGCAGAAGATAACGCGCGGCAGAATGAGCCATCGCGAGACATGATGACCGCGGTGAACTCCTTCAGCTTACAACCGACCGTGGTGATGCGATCTCCAGGGTTGTCTGTTGACATCCGTGCCTACCCGTCCACCCACTCTTGTATTGTGCCTGACGTCGTTGTGACAACACTACGCAATGTCAAACCGCTACATCACGATGGGTAGTTACCGTCGCGGCCGCCGTGTTCCTACTTTAAAGCACGACTACGTTATCAGCTGCGCCCAACGATGTCCTATAGTGCCTGCACCAACCTTCGCTGTCGCACGAGTCGGGCAATGACTCTTCTCCACCTACCGCGCTTCATGTGGAGTGAAACGTCCTGCGAGCCCAAAAGCTCACTCTCACCTTCCACCCTAGCAAGGCCGACTAACGTCAGCCACGCTTGGCCATTCCTTGTCGCATTGCAATAAGAGCGAAATTACCTCCGTCGCTGAACGGTAATTCACCACTTCAGGGATCTTTACTCACAACGGAGTAAGGGTATTCTTGGGTATTCTCACATACACCTGAAGGAACACAAGCGTTTGGTAGCATCGCTCTTGATATGAAGTGACCACATCCTGCCTCCGTCTACCGCACAACTGGCGTTCGAGCACCTAGAGTGAAAATGAAGGGACACAAGCGTTCGACACTACCGTTCTTCATGTGAAGTGAAACGTCCTGCCTCTGTCTACCGCACAACTGGCGTTCGAGCACTGGCGTTCGAGCACTGGCGTTCGAGCACCTAAGAGTGAAAACGAAGGGACACACGGGTTTGACACTACCGCTCTTGATATCAAGTGACCACATCCTGCCTCTGCCTACCGAACAACTGGCGTTCGAGCACCCAGAGTGAAAATGAAGGGACACAAGCGTTTGACACTACCACTCTTGATATAAAGTGACCACATTCTGCCTCTGTCTACCGAACAACTGGCGTTCGAAAACCCAAGCTACCGAACAACTGGCGTTCGAGCACAAAGAGTGAAAATCAAGGGACACAAGTGTTTGACACTACCGCTCTTGATATGAAGTGACACGTCCTGCCTCTGTCTACCGCATAACTGGCGTGTCGTTCGAGCACCTAGAGTGGAAGTGAAGGGATAAAAGCGTTTGATAGTACCGTTCTTGATGTGAAGTGACCACATCATGCCTCTTCTACCGCAGAACTGCGTGCGTCAAGTGAAAATGACGAGATACAAGCGTCTGGCAGAACCGTCGCCACCCACCTCCTTCATGTTTCGCGCTGCGTTCTTGTACTTCTTCCATTGCCACGGTTCTTCTCTTCTCGCTTCAAGAATGACAGACTCGGCGGGATCTCTGTCCTCGCCAGTGTCGCCGCTCAAGCCGTCTGAGACCTGCACGCAACGTCACGAAGCAGGGAGAATCACCGATTACGACGAGCACTTTCCCCCAAGCTTGGTCTTGAATATGTCGGAAGCATGCGTGCAAGCAGGTGTTGCTTGTAGGGCTCACCAGCTTCACCGTTGCGTGTAGAGCCTGGGACGCCAGCAGCATCTTCAGGTCACCACCCCACCACCGAGGCTTACAATATGTGGGACGGAAGCACGTTACATTCTCGGCGTCTGGGCGATCGTGCGTGCAACGCCCACGCGGTTGGCTGTGAAAGCGTAACCCAACCCCGCGTGGATGACTTCTGGGAAGTTCTTCGAGAAGAATAACAGTATACGCCCTCCTGATACGAGCTCCTCGGTGTTCGCTGCTGCCCCCGCAAGGACCACGAGCTGCAGTTGCGACCAGTACATATCCACCCCCCAAAAGCACTTCGCTGCGACCAGTAGTCTACATATCCAACCCCCACAAGCACTTCGCCAAAGCACGCTATTCCACCACCGTCTACTCACAAAGACTACCGATCTCTCCTTGCGCATCTTGTTCGGGATAGCCATGGCGGCGTGGCGACCCAAAACCTACTTGTCCTAAAGGGGGTTAATACCGGTGTAGATAGAGCAAGCAAGCGATTAGACAGGTGGGGCCAGAGCATCAAGCGGGCCGAGCGAATGCACGCGACCCGACACGCTTTCCCTGCTCTGTCGCGATTTTATGCAGAGACATATGAATGGCGTCATAGATCGCGCGCACCTTCTGGCCATACTTTGCCACCCTGCCCAACAACTATTAATACTAGTTTTCTGTAGAGTCCAACCACCTCCAAGGAAAGGACCATATTGAACAAAAAGTTGGCAAAACATATATATATCGTGCACCAGGCCAACTGACGGTCCACCGCTTCCTCCATTGGCAGAACGTTGGACGACAATATGCCAGCATCTCTCCACGGGAAGTACGGAACACTCTCGCTCAAACGTACAATACATTGAGACGAAGGCCTTGATAGACGTCAACGTATCGCTTGAGCACCTTCGGCCAAGCCGGCTCAGCAAGTCTTCGGTTTGCTCTGAGAAGACTACACTGGCAACAGAACACACGACGTTAGAATGCGTGTGGGCGCATTGACGCAGGTGTGATCAGATTTCTCGATATTGTATACCATACTCCTTGAGTACTTGATATGCATGTTGGTTTTTGGAGCAATCGCCTTTTCATACTCAGCGGTAATGTGCGCGTGCACTTTTTGATCGTTACTATTCTTCCTACTATTCAAGTAGGGTGCACATCGTTCTTAGATGTAGCAGTGCTACAGCAGTAGTGCAATAGCTGCAGTAGTGCTACATTGCAATAATCAAAAACTATAAGCAAAAGCTGTGATAGCGAACAAATTACTGCTTTCCAGCAGCAGCCACTGCTTTCGTGCTACACTACAGCACTACACAGTTGTTGACTACAAGCTGGTCCAGCCAAGAAACC